CGGTACAGTGTAGGGTTGGTGTTAGGGACTGTACATGAGGAGGGCCAGACCCAGCCGGCCCTCATTTCTGCATATCCACTGTATTTTCCCATCTCTGCCTCCTCTGTTGCATTAGCATGGTTTACCCTGCGTTACCCTAGTTTACCCTGGTCCTGCCATAAGTTCCAAGTGCACTGTCACGCACTTAGAGGAGCACAGTGAAATTCTGACGTCACAAAGAGGAGGGGACAGGTGCATGGGGGGGGACGACAGGACATGGGGGACTGACTGCAGGAGAGGACACTTCTGACCAGGACACAGAAGCCAGCATCCTACCAGCCTCCTGTTATCGCCCATTTAAAATGATGCTCATTTCAAGTAATCTAGAACTGTCTTATTATTCTGCCTGATATTTTGCTCATCAGAGAGCAGCTGAAAAGTCCTTAGAAAAGTGGCTTTTAAATAAAAACGCGAAGAGTCACGCCGGAGCCTCTGTGTCGTGCTTCACCGTGCATCTCACAGGAGGTGGGGGCTCCACACGCCCAAGATGTGTTGGCCCAGTTTCTTTTATAGCTCAAAGGGTTACGCATGTGGTCCATGTGGAGCCAAAGCATGTCATGACGTGTCCAGTTGAAGACCTTCCTTTTATGGCAAAGACATGGGCTTGTGAGATCATGACCAGATCAGATAAAAGTCATGCACCAGAACCTCAGTGGAGCTAATGATCCGAGTAAACAGTGTACTTTTCCATGTTGGATTTAGGGAACAGTATCAGAATCGGAATGCTTTTATTATGCTGGAGGAAACTGTTTGTAATTACAGACTGCACAGTATGTAGCCATATGGAAAGATAAAAATATACAATACATAGTCACAACAACAATTGCTATATAAAAATAAATAAGTATAGCATATGGAGATGCCTGAAGAGAAAAATACACAAATTTCAATGTAAAAAAGATAAATAAATAAACAGAATCTCTCTCCTCTAGGCCTCAGGACTGCCACAAACTATCAGAAGTCTAAGGACTGAGGACTCCTGCTTATGTTCTTAGTGATCGCAGGTTGGGCAGCGTCTATCTGTAGCGCCGCTCTCCTGTGAAACATCTCCGTAATGTTGGCCAGGTTTCACGGATTGGTTAGCAAGCCATGCCTCTGCTATTTTAAGCCAGTGTTTTCCTTAAAGAAGGGCAGAAACCCCCTAGTATGACTCAAAGACCGAATCCACCCAGCTCCAGAAATGCTATATTTTTGCAGAGCTGCGATCTCCGCAGTGGTAAGCGGCTGCGCTGCAGCCGGTGCTCGTCACCAGTCTTAGCTGTCGAGCTGCGGGGCTTTTTCAGGGCTTAGAGCTGTGAATGGGCCCCGTCTGGAGCAGCCAGGATAAATCACTCAGTGCCTGTGGGAGAGTGCTGCCGTTCTGAGGCAGGAGACATGATCGCGGGGGCAGCCCGGGGGGGTCGCACGCCTCTAGTCTTTTCAGGGAGGCTCAGAGGCAGGGGCTGCTTCGCAGATTTTCCTCAGTGGAAGCAGCCAGGCGGCTTGATGCTCTCGCTGAATGCCATTCCGTCCTCCATGGCTGGAAATTGCATGCTCCGCCTTAACTCGATATGTGGTTGGGGCACCAATCGACAGACTGCATGGCTCCTCACTGAACGGCTCTACACTGCATAGCTCCACACTGCTCAGCTTCTCAATGTGCAACTCCTCACTACACGGCCCCTCACTGTGCACCTCCTCACTGCACAGCTCCTCACTGTGTGGCTCCTCACTGCACTGGTCCTCACTGTGTGCCTCCTCACTGCGTGGCTCCACATTGCGCAGCTCCCCACTGCAGAGCTCCTCACTGTGTGGCTCCTTACTGCACAGCTCCTCACTGCACTGGTCCTCACTGTGTGCCTCCTCACTGCGTGGCTCCACATTGCGCAGCTCCCCACTGCAGAGCTCCTCACTGTGTGGCTCCTTACTGCACAGCTCCTCACTGCACTGGTCCTCACTGTGTGCCTCCTCACTGCGTGGCTCCACATTGCGCAGCTCCTTACTGCACGTCTGCTCACTGTGTTGCTCCTCACTGCGCCTCTGTCGCACGCCATTCCAGGCTGAGTCGCCGGCTGGCTCACTCACACAGTCAGGGAGGGGTCTGCTCCTCACAGGCCTGTACGTACTGCCTGCATGAGGCAATAATTGCTGCAGGTGGTGAAGAATGGGGTCTCACGCCTTTTGGGGGCAAATGTTTACTGTCTTCAGTAACATTAAAGAAGGCTTTAGCTCTACCCACCGTCTTAGGGAGCCAGTCTAAGTCTGTAATTCTGCTCTATTATCATGCTCTTTCTTCTCCCCTGTTCTTTGATAAATGCTCAGAAGCAATAACAGGAGTCTGCTGTTTTGTGTCTTGAACATTAATTACCGTGACTCCCCTTGATTACTGCCACTTGGACTTGAATGTATGTCAAGGTTTGTCAGTGGTCTTAATGGAATCTCAATTGGTAAGTCTGAGGGGAAGAGCTACGCAGGAAAGGCAGCTTAAAGCCCCTGTTTTGTGGGACTGAATTAGCTGCAAAATCAGCGCAGGCATAAGTGTCATGCTATGGTACATTATAAAGCAGGCTTTGTGCAACAGAGCTGGCATTTTACAGAGTGTGAAAGTCGATAGGAGCACATCAGCGTCCATTTGTCCAGCTTATATATATATCAGCCATTCTGATCTACTTCTATGAAACCGATATGCAGGGCTGAAAGGTGATACTGGGGATGTGTGTGGGGGGGGGGGGTGACTCACTGACAGAGACCCAACCTGTGGGGTGAAATGTGAATGAGGCTGGCAGAGTGATGGCGGGAAGCTGAGGGGGCACTCATGCGTTCATGGATCCTCTGGGTCTCCCCGCATTGCACACTGTGAAACTCGGAGGGAATATGTAATGCAGTGGGCGGTGCCATGGGGCCAGGCCAGCCAATCAAACGGCAGGGCCATCCCCCTGCTGCTCTAATTGCATATTGGCTGTACGACATCAGATCCTATTCACTAACTTTGCTTCCAAACTCATTTTTATGAGTTAGTTAATAATTGTACCAGAGATTGAAATGGGGAGCAATTAACTAGTTCCTTAAGTATTTATTCCTTACAGTATTTTAGTAGTACTTGCTAATTGTTTTGGCTGTCAAGCTAGCTACAGTTTTAATTCTTTTTTATTATCCTCAGTGAGGCTGTTATTATCCCATGTTAGTTACACAGTTTGAGATGAGCCTGTCTGTTTTGGACAATGTAATCTTTCACCTTCAGTCTTTCAGAATACACACCTGCGTGAAATGAAATGATGATTTATTTGCCATTAGCACAAGAATGATTACAGCTACATTGTAATGCTTCTATTCTCGCATATCCCAGCATGCTCCCCTTTGAAACACACACACATGTATACATTTAAGAGTGAAGCTTGAGGTCTGAGTGCACGGTCAGGCCATTTATCAGGCACCCTGGGCGCATTTTGCGGGGGGGGGGGGGGGGTTAAAGGCCTTGCTCACACGGAGACGTGGTTTTAACCTCAGATACACAGGCGCAACCTGCTGAGCCGCACACCAGCCCCCGCATGCGTGTATGTTCCTATGCCGACTAGAGGCTGTGCAGACTGCACAGCTGCGCATTTCCTGCGCCATTCAGTAGCAGCTGAACCAGCAGCTGTCAGACTCAGTCCCCAGGCCGCAAGCTACTGACTGAGAACGATAAGAAAGTCTCGACTGTGGAATCTTTTCTGTCATATTATAATAATGACCACATTGTGCTCATTGGCTGAGCAGCAGCAATTTTCAAATGATGCTGCTTCTGACAAGGGCCCAGCGTGTCCGTCTATTTCCCGCTGTAAGCGTTCCAGAGAGGCGCCAGTTCCCACTCCTGTTTTTCCTGCAAATCAGCGCCTTTATGCCCCTGGAATGTTCCGCCCAGCACATGCGCGATACAGTAATACCCCCTGACCGTCGATGTGACACGGATTTTCCGCGGCCCGATCGAAACGCACGCATGATGGATGGCGGGACCAGCCGGCGCCCAGTGCGAGTCACCTGCTCCGTGCCGCTCAGCGTGGAGGGTTCGCTGGCTGCGTTTGTCATTAAAGGCCACACTAATGAACATGCCGTGTTTTGGCGCTGTTCCAGGGGAATTGGAGATAAACAGTGCCTAATCCATCATTCTTACCGGAATCACCACTCGGAGAACCGTATGGAATGTAACACTGCATAAAATGAACAGACGGAGCTGCTAAGTGCAGAAAGTCGTCACAGAACAGAGGTTTTTTCTGTGCAGATAATTAAACTAACTCAGCTGAGCCTAATTAAACTTGTCAAGGTTTCTTTCAGAAGTTTAAGCATGGTATACCTGTAAGTAATGAATCTGGCTCCCTGTAATTTTATTACAGTTTGCCATATTTAAATCTAATTACGTAATGGCAGCTTTTCAGCCGAGAGACCATCTTGGTCTCCATGAGAACTTTGATCAAGGCGCGGCCTTGCAGCGATTTACAAGGCTCAGCGCCAGTGAACAATGAAGAGCTAGAAGAGACAGGCGGAGCGGCCCCAGTGTGCTGTGCTTACCTACCTACGGCTCAATGTCATTTTCTCGAAATTCGCTTTTGGGTCTGTTGGATCAGGAGCAAAGGTGTGATCTGGGAAGATGGGATGATGGGCTTTTTGTATGGCGAGTATTTAAAGTGATGCTGCTGCTTCACGCTAGTTTCTTTTTGATTAGTTTAATCTAAACCCCAGTGTGTCTGCAGGTAATCATTCCAGGCAGTGAAAATGACAAAGAAAGCATTTTAAACGAAGCTCACTCTGTGACTCAGAAAATGAACAGAATAGAAAATGAACCCAGAAGCCTATTGTCATACTGACATGTGCTGCTGGTCAGTGCGCTGCTGCATGTTAGCTTATATGCTAATGCTGATGGTGTCGGGCTTTGGGCTCCGGTACACAGTAACCAGCCAGCGTAGGAGGCGCCAGGGAGCCTGGCTCACTGACCCTGACAAACCAAAGCCATGAAGATATTCTCTGCTGCTCTATTCTGGCTTCATGTGGGGTCACTTTGCTGACAGGACCGGAGCACAGCAGAGTGTGTGGGCGTTGGGGCACGTCCCGACTGAGGCAGAGATGCAGGCCTCCTTCCTGTCTCCCTCATGGGACACGCCACACCCCCCC